CGGGTGCTACGCACGATGTCTACGATGTCTCATGCGGAGATGTCAAGTCATGCCTGTCGGCAGGTGCTGCATGCTGGCTCTGGTGAAGGTGTCATGTTATGCATGTTGCTGTTGGATCGAAGGTGGTGCGTTAGTGACCAGAGGTGAGGCGGTATGGGACTTTTTGACTTCCGGTTTCTTTTCCTGCGGTACTCGGCTGGCAAGGTCTCGGTAGCCGAACAAGTGTTGATGGTAGAGGTGACCTCAGTGACGAGCATGTGCACTCCGGTGGAAACACTAGATCTCTGATCAGGTTATGTCGACGCGCGCCAGCGTCGTGCCCTTGCCGAAGGTGGTGGATTGAAGCTTGGCTTTAGGGATGAAAATCTTGAGATTGGCCTTGGGTTGGACTCGTCATCATCGGCCCACGTGCGGAGATTCCTTCTTGAAAGCTTAGCCTAGGAGTTGTGTATTTTCATTTAGTTTTGTCTTTATCATAGGGTTACTGGCTGTTTGGTGGAGTTTAACGCCACGAGGCATGCGGCCTCATGTATTTTTTCCGGTCGATATTGTTTGGCTGCTGGATTTTAAGTAATAAATAATATATGGCTGTGTGCCTTGCTCAATGCAGAGGCCGAGGGTTATCCTCCTTTTCGAAAAAATATAAGCCTGCCATGGTAGCGATTTTGGCCCATCCCAAAAACCACAGCCATGGCAGCCCTTTCTGCTGTGCAAGCAGGAGCTACGTGCACCAGGCTGCCCCTTTAGTTAACTCTTGCCGAGTGGACATGGTCTGTGCAGTCCCGGTTGACTTTGAGAGATGCCTATCACTAGCTCAGGACGTGGAGAGCTACGGGTTATTTCCCTTTCTGATGAAAAAAGGGGAAGAAAGAGCAGAAAAGCTACAATATTACGCAGCACAAAATTCAGTGTCTTGCTTGCTCGTAGTTCAGAGTAAGAATTGGCATCAGAGCTTGACCCGGTGGCCATGTCAAGTGGTGGAGAGCAGCCGGTGCGGTGTGCCTCGCACGGCTCCAAGAAGCCATCTGCGCAGCGGCAGCAACAACAACGCTCGCCAATCCGAGGGTGCAGTAAGGCACGATGATGCGCGGGTGGCGAGATCGTGGTTCAGCAGGTGGTGCGCGAGAGCAGCACCAACCTCTCCTTCCCGATGCTGACCCGCACAAACTACAACAATTGGGCGCTAGTGATGGAGGTCAACCTGCAGGCGGCAAGCTTGCGGGACACCAGTGAAGACGACACTGTCTCATGGAAGGAGGACAGAGAGGCGATGGCGGCGCTGATCCGGTCCACCCCGCTGGAGAACCACAACATGCTCGCCGAGAAGATGATCGCCAAGGAGGTGTGCCGGTGCAAAACCCAAGCCTCGGCGGCGATCGTGCGAGGCGAACGAGCAGTGGCTGCGGGTGGAGTTTGAATCCATCGCTTTCAGGGACAGCGAGTGGGTCGACGACTTTGCTATGAGGACCACCAGCCTCACGACGTCCCTCCGCTCCCTAGGTGACACTGTCGACGACACAAAGGTCGTCCAAAAATTTATGCGCGTCGTCTCCTCCCGTTTTGTGTAGGAGGTGATCTCCATCGAGACTTTGCTTGATCTGTGCATGCTCTCCATCGAGGAGCTCATGGGGCGGCTGCGGGTGGTCGAGGACTGCCTGGATGACGGCCGGGAGAGTGCCAGCAGCGGCCGCCTGCTTCTCACAGAAGATGAGTGAGAGGCGTGGAAGAAACAACCACGGGGCTGCGGCGCCTCGAGAGTGGCGGTGACCGTGGCTGACGCGGCAGTGGCAACCGTGGGCTGAAGCTAGGCCAGCCCAAGTGCATGTATTACTGCAAGAAGGGCCACTTGGCTCCCAAGAAGCAGCGCAATGAAGCGGCGGCGGCGGAGAACCTTGTCCAGCCCGAGGAGGGCAAGGGACCGGGCTGATGATGGCCTGCGTCGACTCCATGCTAGAGGGGCCGATGATCCCCGCGCCACCGCGACATGCCAAGGAATCTGGCTCTCATACCTCCTCGGAGAAATTCTGAACCAGGAGGCTGCCCCATTGATAGCAAGTCTGCAATCTCACTCTACAAGAACCCTGTAATCCATGATCGCAGCAAGCATATCGATCTCCGCTATGACTTCATTGAGAACGGTAATGTGACCGTGGAGTTCATCGGCATGAAATCCTGACGAAGTCCCTTGGGCGTGTACGATTCCGGGAGCTTCGAGCCTCGACCGGCATCGTCGACATCGCCATCCTCTCGCGACAGGGTTGAAGGGTGAGATTGTGGCCTGTTAAACCCTGCCGCTCGCGTCGCAGGCAAATAAGCCTGCCATGGCAGCGTTTTTGGCCCAACCCAAAAATCGCTGCCATGGCAGCCCTTTACCGTCGGTCCGGTTTTTGTTAGAATTTTTTCAGCAGTTTAGTTAACTTTTGCCCAAAGGACGCGGGCTGTGCACTCCCCGACGACTTTGTAGGATGCATAGCACTAGCTCGGGACATGTGATTACATGTTCGGTACTTGAGCATGAGCTACGACTTGTTTCCCTTTTCTAAAGAAATAAAAGGAGGAAGAAAGAGAAGAAAAGCTGCAATATTACACAGCGCAAAATTCAATGTCTTGCTCGTTCTCTCGTGTCCACAGCTCGTAGTTCAGGGTAACATGACACAGTTTGTCCAACGCGTAACTGATGCAATCGCGCAAGCAGTGATCAATATCACAGTGATTCACAGAGATACGGTGTTTACTCTTAGGCGATCTGACAAACGACATTTGTTTCGTCATGGTGGATACTGCAAGTCTCGTCAATACAATTAGATCATAAAATCCCTGGCTGGATATGGAATATTTGGTGGGATTTAGTTCCAAGCTGGCCCGAACATAAGCGGCAGCCATTTTGAAATTGTTCAAAGTAATTAAACATCTGATATGTGAGGATGGGCTTCTGAATACACTTCAGTTGTACTCCCTCCGTTCCAAAATAGATGACTCAACTTTGTACTAACAGGTGTTCATTAAGAAAAGATAAAGGATAGCTTGACTTATTTCTGGGGAGATTAGCTATCTATCGATTGTGTTTTGTTTTTATGTTTCCCAACAAATGCTTACACTAGAACTAGCTACGTCGACGCTGATTTCTGTGGGTAACGTGTGAAGCAATTTTATATTGTTGTCTAGAACACTGGCTGTATTAGATCTGATAATGAGACCAGGTGCATTCCCTTCTTATTTTGCAGCAACGTCATCATCTTTTCACATTGATGACACCAAACTATTGAAAAGAAAATAAATTAAGTTGTTACTTCTAGTTCTAGATCAGTTGTATATATGCAGAGTGAGCAGGGTACAGCTCACCCATGTATTACTCATCGCACTCTATGTTTTTAAGGCGACGCCTTGCTTTAAGGCGCTGGGGGGGCGCTTCGACGCCTAGGCGACGCCTAGGCGCCTAAAGCGGACGCCTAGGCGCCTAAAGCGCAAAGCGCTGGGGGGGCGCCTCGACGCCTAGGCGTCGCCTTACGGACGCCTTTAAAACATAGATCGCACTACTAGGTTGGCATGACATGGTTATAACTTCTATTGCAAACTATCCCCTCTGTTTCTACACTGGCACAGATATCTCACTTCAATCTGATGGTCCCTGAACTTGAGGGTCGTGCATTGTATTATTGTCTCAACTGAGGTCCAAGCAGCATTTAATTTAATTACCAAATAGCAACTAATGACCATGTGGCAATTTGGGTTTATTTAAGCAAAAAAAAAATTCTTTGAGAAAACGCAAGAGACGTTGCGTTTCATTTCATTGAACAGGAAGACATCGGGGGTACAACCTCCAGAAAGGAGGGACACACACACACACACACACATACACGACCGTTCTCATCAAGCGACTACAACTAGGTGAGGAGGTGCCCTCAACTACAGACACGCAACGACATTAGGCCTCGCCCAGCAGGGCAGCGTCAGCGCCATTGCCAAACGCCTCTAGGGACGATTGCAGCTCCAGAACTGCTCAGGCCAACGTACCTCGCACCCATGTGCCTAGAGAGTCGGCGGGCGAAGGGCAGGGCCTGATAGGAACGGGTGAAACAATCATTGGGGAAGCGTGGGTGCTGGCATACGTTGTGATCTGCTCCCTGTGTAGCAGTCTACGCCAGAGCGATGCATCACCAGCCTCCGTCTGCCGCATGAAACTCCACTTGCAGCCAAAGCAGCACCTTCAAGAGGGGAACGGCGCTGAGACGCCGCCGCTGCCCGGTCCGGGAGGCCGGACCTGGGATTTCTCCTGGTGCTCGAGGAGGAGATCTGGTCAGGGTCATGCCAACGCCTCCAAGGAGGTGACGACACCCTCGGGCGTCGCCGTTGACAGCGCAGGCCGTCGCCGCGCGGGGATTTCGCCCCGACCCATGAACAAAGACCTCAGATGAAATGGTAGACCGGACTTGGCGAAGAACGTCGGAGAAGACCAGCACACATGGAGGGATGCCTAGGAACGTTGTCGTCACAGGAGGAGCACCAACCGGCGCAGCGCCAGCAGGCCGGCCACCGCCGGGAGCGGGACGAGCAGGCAACAGCAGCCACCTGCACCGCACCGCGCCGCGCCGGCCCGCAGCATCGACCGCCGGGGCACAGCAAACAGCAGCCATCAAGGACCGCCGCGCGCGTGCACACCCACCCAGCGGCTACCACCGGCGACGGCCGGGAGGGGTGGAAGGAGGGGGACGGGTGGGTTGGGGCAGAAAGAGAATCGCAGGCCAGGGCGGGCCCGCGCGGCCCAGATCTGGGCGCCCTCATCTCTGCCGCTCGCAACAGCGG